CTATTCGTTGGGTTTAATATGGTTATGGGCTTTGTCGGCCCTCAAAATCTCGTTTCGACAGATTCAAGCATGTCGGGAATACTTTTAGCCCTAATTTCAACCCCTTGACCCTATGGAGTGAATGGTCCATCGATACCAACCCGTATCGACCCGACCACTCTAAAAGCTTTTATTTGTATATGCCTATCTTAAGGATTTTACATAGGTTCTTGGCATATAATTTTTCGAGTCGAAAGGATAGCATATGAACTTTAGTAAAGGTTGAATTTTTCTTTTTATGGTGTTTAGACCGGAATATTATGATGAATTTAGGATATTGGATACTTAACCAATTGCATTTTTTATGCGTAAATGTTCGAAACCATTGAAATTGGGGTCGTATATTACGCATTTGGATGTTAATTTAGGGGCACTTAATCTATCGGATCATAATTTGAATATTACATGTCTTATGGAACCATTTGATTTGCCTTTCTTAGGCTGGATGAGACTTCTCACCCTTAAAAACGAGTAGGGAATACGTCTTTTCCCCACGTGGGCCCACCATCCTGTCATCATCGAGACACACCACGCGACGAGTCGAATCGCTCCGCGATTGCCCAAGCCATAAATAGTAGCCAACTGCCACTATAAAGTATTTCTCAACCCGACAGAACCTTACGCCCACTACTCTTGCGGACCATCAATTCCATATTGAACGCCATCTCAAACGTATGGAGTTCAACCCGAAGGCTTACTTCGCCATTCGAGGGTTCACCCCTCCATTTCCTCCTACTGCTGTAGTGGTTCCATCACTTCTCATAACTTCGCCTATTCGGAGAAGTTTTCTTTCCCTTTCATTTTTTTTTCATTTTTTGTTTCATTTATTTTGTTTTTCAACTCGGTTGCACCTCAATTTATTTTGCTTTCGGTTTATGTTGTTGATTGGAGTACATATTGAGGACAATGTGTTGCCTAAGTGTGGGGGATGGTTTATCTTGCATTTGCTTATGTTTGTTTCGAGAATTTTTACTCACTTATGTTCATGTTATCCTTAATTTCTATCGTAACTCTGCTAGTTAAACCCTCATTTAAAATCTTTAATTACGTTCAAACTTGTTTTGAAATGGATTGGAATTATTTGAATTATTGAGTTGAATAAAAATGAGACGGGAATTGGCATGAACATGCGGACACTCTTGCTTGATATTTTTATGCATAACAACCCCCTAATAATCGGCTTAAATGAGAATATGTAAAATTCACACAAAACATACATATGTGAGCTTTTGAGCATTCATCTATATAAGCTCTATTTCTTTTTTTATTATGTGTTTGTTGTTGTAAGTTGAATCCTTCTAGAACTTACCTTGTTATACATTTCGAGACTACACTTTTGGATTAAATGCATTAAGATGATAAGGGCACCTAGGATTAGCCATTTTTAAACCTCTTAAAAACCTATCTTGATTTTCACCCCTAGGAGCTAAGTTTGAGCCTTAGCTTTTTCTTGATTGAATAACCATAATAGAAACCAATCAATCCTCGTATTTGATAAACAACCCCATGTTTGAACCACTAAGTCAAGAATTTTGTACATATCTAATTAAGTGAGACTCGATTTTGTTAATAAAATTATCAAAAATGGTTGCTTGTCTTAATTATTAACTTGTTTGTTTTATGTTGTGACAGATTGTTTATTTCAAAAAAAAGAAAAAAAAAGAAAAGAAGCAACGAAAGGAAAAGAAAGAAAGAAATAATAAAGGAAACAGATTAGGATTAGCAACTTAGGAAAAATAAAAAGTGAGCATGTAATGCTTGAGGAATAAGACTTTTTAAGGTTGAAACTTGTATAGGATTCTTGACTTGTTTAGACTAAATCAACGTCCACCAAACCCCACCTAGAACCCCATTTCACCTTATCATAAAACCCTTTGATTTTTGCATTTGATTCAATAATTAGTAGTGGAGATATGGTATCTTGGCAAGCTTATGGTAAGGATTCTTTTGTGTACTCGACTTGAGAGTTGACAAAAACATTCACCCTAATCACTATGAGTGCTTTTAAGTGAATTCTTGGTAAGGGTGATGAATTCGATTGCATTTCTAGTTTAAACCGACGGTTGGGGGTTCGTTATGCATGATTGTAGAAAGTATAAAGTTTCGTCATAATTGTCCTATTTTTTTTCATGTTTTTAGTTCAACCCTTTGAGGCTTTACATTTTGATGTGTAGATAGATTGGTTGAGACAGAATGAGGGGTTTAGAGGGTTGGTTTGATAAGTTTAGATGATTGCATGCTTGAGGGCGGACATGAGCTAAGTGTGAGGGATTTGATAGTAATCAAAATGCATGTGTTTAAATTGCTTAATTTCTCTCGCATTTTATTGTTTTGAGATGTTCAAATGATAAACCTCAATTGCTTTTGTATTCTATGTGCCACGATGTGAAACCGATTGATAAATGACGTTAAAAGAACCATATAAAGAAAATTTATGATCAAGAGCAATTCGGACAATCGAAAAGCACGAGAAGCGTGGGCACGTAAGAGTAATAGCGTAGGCATATAGATGCGATAGATATAGACATACAAAAGTATGAAGGCGTGGGCATGTTATAGCTTAACGTGGACATACCGAAAACTACAAAAACATACAACAAACCTCAATTAGGAAACAAATTCCGTTACGATTTACCGGGAATAGACTTGCACCTTTTGAAAGAGGAGCGGATGTTTTGTACCCTTTTTGGAAAATATAAAACCTCTATAAATAGAAACATAGCAAGCTAGGCGTGACACCTTTTTATTCATTCTTTTATTCATCATAGTATTTATTAGCTTTATTTTCTCACTCTTGCTATGACTGCTGCCATGAACACCGTCATGAGCAGCTAAACCCTTTTCCTTGGTTAAGGTAACTAAAGCTTTTAGAAATCAAAGATTTTGAGGTGCTTAAACATTGATGCAAATTAGTTTGTTTATTTCAAGCATTAAACTTTCTTGTATGCTTATTTTCATGATTGTTTGGGTTAATTTCTAATGTGCGTAGTTAGTTTATTAATCGAAATAATTTATAGCTAGATTGAATATTGAATCCGTAATTGTTCAATCCTTTTGATTCATGTAGCAACTAAGAGTGTATGGTTTCTTTGCGTCGAAACTAATGACTCTTAAGAAGATTGTTTAACTAGATTAAATACAACTACATGTGTTGTGTTGTCTTGCTTTATTGATCTTTCTAATACATAAAACCGTTGTTTGATGAAATCTTAGATCGTATCTAGGGTTGTTAAATAATGAGGGTTAATTAGAATACATGTTTCTAGTTGGCTATTCGTAAGGAAAGATTGATTTCAATATCACAACAAATATTTGAATGAGAATCGATATTTCTTGCATCGAGGATAAATCTTAAGTTCCAAAAGTGGATGCGACTCGAACCAAGGTTTGTTACTTGAACATTTATTTTAAACTTATTTCTTGAATTTAATTTGTTTAGTTTCGGTTATATCTCGGTCAAATTAAAACCCCCCATTTTTATTTATTTCATGTTCTTCCGGATTTGTGACGATTAACGCAACAAAACTCTTCGTGGGATCGATCCTTACTCTCCCTTACTACATTTGTGTTATAGGAGTTTATAAGTTTAATTTGGGTGCACACGACAACCCCTATCAATAATTGATTTAAAAGAAATGTTATAATACTCGAGGAATAACTAGTGTATATGTATGATAGTTACTCCATAGGTCCATTTTTAAGAAGAAAGATAGACATAAAAAAGAGAGAATCACATCCGAATCCATCAAAAGTAATAAAATGATTTTCACCTTATTCAATTTTTTTTAATTTTCTCTCTCCTATTTCTTTTTTTTTTTTTTATGTCTATCTCTCTATATGAAGTAATTTACATTAATTACTTTTTGAGTGTTATTAAATTTCTTTTAATTCACTGTTTACACAAAACACATAATAATATTAATTTTATAAACAAAACACTTTTTAATAATAACACAAACATACTATGAGTATACTTAATAAAATAAATATACACACAAGATATAAAAAATAAATTCGAATATGACAACATTAGCTCATAAAGGTTCTTCCCAGTTCCCATGCATCGGTCTCAGTTGGCAGGCTCTGAATACGTCATCTGTTGAAAACAGCATAGCGTGCTAATGCAATGAACATTCATGGCCGTCTTTGAAAAAACACAAGAGAAAAGCCGAAAACATTTCATTAATTAATAGTGAAACGTTAAGACCAAGACTTATGACGGTGACCGGCAATGACAGCATGATTAATAAGTATCCAAAGTTTGGCCCTTTGCAAGGCATGATAAGTTAGAAATTAATAAAAGTTAAGTTTGTTAATCCTTCAATCACTTCACGACACAATTTGCAATTAACAAATAAGATGAAAACGCGTGGCCCAAATTACATCTACCGCTGAAAATGACTTTTGCCCTATTTCCTAAAGGCACTGCCAAACAGTCCCTTTACATATCATCTTCCTCGTCCATCTGTTTGATATGTTTTTTTTTCTTGCTTCAATTATGGTGGGTGAAGGTGAGTGCTTAACGGTCCATTGCCAATCCATTCCTCTTTGATGGCTTTTCACCTAAATATAATGTATCAAAGTAAGAATTTTCTAATTGGAATTAAAAATCAGATTTTTTTAATACCACAACGGATTTTTTCCCCTTAATTTTGAATTAAAAAAGCATTTAAAAAGAGTTCTTTTTTTGACACGCTTTATAAGAAAAGGTGAAACTTATACATGGCAAAAAATAAAAAATAAAAAAAATTTGTGAGCTATCAAAAAAATTTCATCCAAACATTCTTGTTACTTATTCGGACATTACAGAACAGATCTTTTGACATTATCTAGTGTTTCTGTTCCCTCCCTCTCACCTTTTTTTGGCTCATATCATGACAATACATTTTGTCTTCCCTTGTTCCCAACTCTCCCAATCTCTGTGAAACCAAGAACCACACCAAAAAAAGAACACTGCCACGATGTCAAGGTGTTTTAGTTTCATTGCAACACAAGACTCATGGTACCGATACTCCTTCAAAAGATCAGGCCTAAAATCATCCACAACCGATCTAGGAGATGGCACGATCATGCATTGTTGGATTCCGAAGACACGCAATCCATCAAAACCTACGTTACTAATAATCCACGGTTTTGGTGCCAACGCGATGTGGCAATTCAACGGTCTTATCCCTCATTTCATCTCCAAATTCAACGTTTATGTACCGGATCTCCTGTTCTTCGGAGAATCCTACACAACAAGAACCGAAAGGACTGAAGCTTTCCAAGCTCAATGCGTCATGGGGCTCATGGAAGCCCATAAAGTAACCAAGATGGACGTGTTTGGGTTGAGTTATGGCGGGTTCGTGGCGTACAGCATCGCAGCGCAGTTCAAAGAGCGCGTGGGGCGCGTTGCGCTAGGATGTGCTGGGCTTTGCTTTGAAGATGACGACTCGGAAAATGTAGAGGTGTTTAAAGTGACAACGGTGGAGAAAGCTGCCAGTATTTTGCTGCCGCAAACACCTGAGAAAGCCAGGGAGTTGGTGCGGCTGTCCTTTTATAAGCCACCGCCTAGCTTGCCCTCTTGTTTTCTCTGGGACTTCATTGAGGTTAGTTTTACTTTTTCTTGGCGAATATATAATAATAATAATAGGACTCAAATTTTATTCACGCATTTAGAAGCGTGAGTTCTATAGACTAGCATTCTATTCGTCAATATTGCATGGTTTTCTTCTGCAAGGTATTTTAGAGAATACAATACTCGCTCGACTAGAGATGAAAAATTAAATCTGAAACTAATGAAATAAAATAAATTATGAAAATTGTTAATAGAGCAAAATGCGCATCCGGGGAATCGAACCCCGGTCAGTACCGTGGGAGGGTACTATGATACCACTACACTAGATGCACTGCTTGTTTCTTAGCTATGCAATCTAAAATATGAAAAAGTTAATTGCCTGAGCATTCTGACCTAAAAGAATTCAACACACACAGGGTCGGTAGGATTAATGGGAGATGTGTAATGTTTCCTACAGATTGTGTGATTAGTCCATCTTGGTGTTTCAAACATTCCGTTGATTTTTTTCATTTGTAACTCATCTATCTAAAATCTCTAACAAAATTAATATGTTATAATTTGAAGCCGTGATCTCCTCTTACAAAACCTATTATCACTCCGCTACAAATTGTTTTTATACATTGGCAATAATAGAGATCAGTATTCAGTACACAGCGTTAGTATGTCATCTGGGTAAATCGCCCTACATTTTTGGTCATTATTTGACCTGCTCCAATCCATCAATCATCATTCCCCCACCAAAACAGCAGAAGCTCATCCAATCAAATCCTTGACAGTCTTGGGAAATTAACCATTTGTCTGATTCATTCATTAATAAATAAATAAATAAATAAATAATGCCCACTTAGTATGACGGAAAGACCAAGACTTGAGACCAGCATGATCGAAAAGTGTATTTTAAATAAAAAACTTTTTTTGTCACTTCGACGGGAAATAAAAACCCATTTATAACAGTAAATCAGAGACAGCCACGTTTTTATTTTCCTTTTTCTCCCCTCCTTTCATAGAATCCACCGCCAAACGGTCACGTTTTTCATATCTTTCGTAATAATGGCAACCCTTACGATTCTTTCTTTATCTGTCTCCATGCTGATCAAAAAATTTTGCTGAAATAAAAAACCAGCCCAAAATCTCTTCATCCCTCACCAATCTCCTCCCTTAAAAAAAAAAAAAAAAAAAAAAAACCCAGTCCGATGGCAAAGTGCTTCAGTTTTGCTGCAACACAAGATTCATGCTACCGTTACTCTTTCACTCGATCAGGCCTAAAATCATCCACGACCGACCTCGGGGACGGCACGATCATGCACTGTTGGATCCCGAAGACACACGATCCATCAAAACCTACGTTGCTATTAATCCACGGTTTTGGTGCCAACGCAACGTGGCAATTCAATGGTCTGATCCCCAAGTTCATGCCCAAATTCAACATCTACGTACCCGACCTCCTATTTTTCGGGGAATCCTACACAACACGAGCCGAAAGGTCCGAGGCTTTTCAGGCCCAATGCGTTATGGGCCTCATGGAAACCCATAGCGTAACGAAGATGGACGTGTTTGGGCTGAGTTATGGCGGGTTCGTGGCCTATAGCATCGCCGCGCAGTTTAAAGAGCGCGTGGGGCGCGTGGTGCTAGGATGTGCGGGAGTTTGTTTTGAAGAGAAGGATGTGGATGAAGGAGGAGTGTTTAAGCTGGTGACAAGTATTGAGGAAGCTGTTGAGCTTTTGATTCCACAAACACCTGAGAAAGCTAGAGAGTTGGTGAGGTTGTCGTTTTATAGACCACCACCTAGTATGCCTTCTTGTTTTCTCCAAGATTTTATCGAGGTTAGTTTCAAGAGTTCATTACACACTTCAAATTTGCTTCATTTTTGATAAGATACAAGTGGGATTTGTTTCGTTTTGGATAAAGGTGACTTTGAAGAGTGTTTAAGAGAGACAATGTGAATATATATTTAAAAAAGAGAGCTTCGAACTTGAAATTTCTTGGAGTGGAGAGGATATTAATGCTAGTTGTTGCGTTTTACAATGTTTGGAATAAATTTTTTCATTGATTTAACAACGCACTGAATCCGGTTCCGTGACAAAATTCTTCACATTTGGCGGCCAAAAGATACTTTTGTGCCAAAAAGTAATTGCCTTCCAGTTTCGAAGGAATGCACTTTTAGAAGTCCCTGTCGATGAGGTGTGCCATCTCCAACTTTGAGTTGTTTCACTTCATTAGAGAAGTAAACTTGGTCTGTAGTATCCCTTGCTATAAAAACTGGAAAAATAAAAAATAAAAAATTGTTTCTTGACCTTTGAGTAAATGACTGTCAGCAGCTAGCATTTTGTTCTCTTTAATATGAGAAAAGCTAAAATGTGCACTTAAGAGTCTGCACATATAGTTAATAGTCATAATTTTTTTTTTAAATCATTATTATTTTTGTCTGAAATTTCGACTTCTAGATTGAAAAACCAATGGCCAAAAAAATAGGATATGAGCCTGATGAACCCTTTCTTTATTGCATAAATGTCTATGCTTTACTAGTGACCATGATTTTACTAGGATGTTGCTTTGAACACACATGTCATGCATTTGAGTCTTTCTACGTTCATGTGTGGATGTATATAAAGTTCATTGTGCTCATTCTTTTATCCATAATGATACGTGGAAGTGTATTGATTGTACTTTGAGATAAAAAAAAAAAAAAGTGTATTAACTTTGAAAAGAAAATATCTGTATTTAAGTCTTTAGAATTTTAGAAACGAATTGTTAGATTGATTGAAGTTGAATACGTGATTTGATTGCAACTAACTTAATAATTCAGAAAGTTCTGTTTAGTACACATTTTAGTCTACTCTACCTATCATTTTGTCTGTGGGCACCACTGCATAGTATTAGAGAGCAAATTTTTTAGTGACCCTTTATCCATTCTCTCCTATCCTTCTCTGTGGGGGCACAATTTCATTGCACTTGACATGATGTGGTTAATGCAGCTTAACTCTGCATCTACTGACTGTCGGTGAGGAAAATTGTGGCCCTGAATTATCCTGCAGCAGATGATTTAAATGTTGTGATCAGAAATGAGCTGTGTAATCAGAGTGCTTTTTTAATCAGGAAAATGAGCTGTGTTTTTTGATTTTGACATATCTATTTGAATATTTCATTTATATTTTAAAGGAGTTCAGGATCAACTCCGAATGCAAGACCAACCTGTTATGTCCTTTAAGAAATTGCACATCCGTAAAGTTGAAACAGTAACAACTACTGGAACAAGGAGGCAGATGTTATGTCATTTTTGGAAAAGTAAGTGTGGCTGTTGTACTAAGGGTGTATATTGAGATTACAATTAACATAAACAAACAAGCTGATTATTAAATCTGTTAGGTTGCTTATTTTATAGAATCATGACATCCAAGGAAGCCGAAACTACAGAGTAGATGGTCTGGAAGAGTACCCCTAAGGCATTACTATAAGCAAATTGCAAGTTGGGTGAAATAACTAGGGCTTTGAAATTCCATACTACTTGGCCTGAACTAATTAGGATTTAGAAGGTGATAAGAATTGCATATGTTTTAGTATGTTTTACTTTGTAGCTATTTTTTCTAGAGGTTGCTGCACCCACACATATATATTTCACTTTGGCCTCTCAATTCTTTCATCATGTCAAAGGTTAAGCAAAATGTCTTCGTCTGTGTTGACAGGTCCGTTGACAGAGTGCATTTAACTCAAAACACATTTCATTGTTGCAGAAAGTGGAATTCTGTTATATCTAGTGCTGTTTCATCTTGTTTTTTGTCTGAAAGTTCAATTAATTCGCTGTGGAAATGTTTGAAAGTTTTGTTGTAATTTCACTTTGTGGACAGGTAATGTGTACCGAATTCCGTCAAGAAAAGAAAGAATTAATCCAGGCATTACACAAGGATAGAAAGATGTCAGATCTTCCCAAGATAACTCAGGTACTGTAACTAACACTTCTTTTGATTTGCAATACATATTTGTATATTTTCTACTTCAAGTTTAGCTCTTTCTCGATCTTCTTGAGTACCTTCTAAGGGTGTATCTCTTCTATGCAGCCTACACTCATAATCTGGGGAGAACATGACCAGGTTTTCCCCCTGGAATTGGCACACAGATTAGAAAGGTAATTCTTAAGAACTTATTCATCTTATTGTCCTTCACAATTTCTATCTAATAGGAAAGGACCTTTCGTAACAAGCTTCGAGCCTACTCTACCTCCTCCCTTCATGATATGCTCATCTTTTCAGCAACCAACTGGGTTTTGTGGTAATTAGTAACTGTGTGACTTGATGCAAGAATAGGTTAACGATTCTTCTTCTTTTACCTGTGCAGGCATATTGGTGATAATGCAGAATTAGTGATAATAAAGAATGTGGGTCATGCACTCAATGCAGAGAGGCCAAAGGAGCTGTACAAGCACTTAAAATCTTTCCTCATTGACAATCTTGTTTCATCAAAGCAAGCAAGCCATAGCAACGGTCGTAAGGCAGATTGAAATACCTGCCAAGAATATTGATGAGGGGAATTCAGGAGTTTCTGATTTCTCGATTTAGACTACAACGTGCGTGTGCTGAAGACTATCCAAAGCTTAGAAAGTAACTCATTTAATTTTTTAGAGAGGAGAAAGTTAGATCCATGCAAGAGATATGAGCGATATTCCCCTTATCTCTGAGGAAATTGGTTAGGTTACCCTTGTAATCTGATTCCGTATGAGTCGGTCCTATTTAAAAATTTTGCTCTGCAAAAACTGCAGAGTTTTTGGTGGTTCCTTGCTGCTTTCCTTTTGTTGGTGACAGGATGTTAGAAGCTCCTCTGTATCTCTTCATGTCTTCTTGGACAACTAATAGATGTATAATATTCTATATTTGATATAGGCTTATCCAAATGCTTATTGAATGAGAGCTGAAATGTCCTTTTTGTATACCATCGCAAGTATTAATGTAGAACTCAGAGTCCTTCGTTCTACCTCACATCAAAGCATTTTGGAAGTTATTGTAATGGTGCGGGAATTGTGTAAATTGCAATATGAGTAGGTTGAAAAGGGACTGAAAGCTGAAGAGGTGAATCAAATAAATTTTAGGGAGAAAGACAGCTGAAGAGGTGAATTGAACATTTTTCAAGGCAGAAAGAAAACATGGTAAATGAAAACAGCTGGAAGAGGAATTTACAAACCACATTCATTGCTATGATCATATAGGTTCAGGTTCTTTTGAGCTCTTTGCATCAGTCTAATGCACATGGAAAGTATCATATTCATAAATGAATTAGATTCCAGGCCTTCCCATCTTTATTCGTATTATTTCTCTATCGAATTTGATTAATAGGACCTAGTTTGACCCCTTTACAATTTTTCATTGCCAAAACAAAGGTCTTCGTTAATTAGAAAGAGATCTCAGACTACTGCACAACGAGCAGTCTGATCACTTAACTTTTAAGCTGTTCTCTTTCTCAAGCTGCTCCAACGAAAACTAGACCACCAAGAAACCCCATCCACAGCTTCCCTGCAAAACCAATGAGCAATATATTGAGATTCACACTAAGAATCCTCATCAAGTTTAGCTTGCATTTTTTTCCTTGAAAGGAAAGATGCATTTAGCACTTCGGCTATTCCCACTTTCCTAGACAAGGGCTTGAATTTGAGTCCTTAACCCGGGCTAGGAAGAGGAAAACATATCGAGCCCTTAACCCTGCTTTGGAGGATTGTAATTGGACTACACGTTAGTACACAATCAGTGTTCAATTTTCTTTTTTGGTTTACAAAAGAATATGCCTTGGAACTTTCACTTTAGCAAAATTGTCCTTTTTCCTACCAGAAAGGATGCCCCTTAATGCTCCATGACAAATAACGTTTGGCATATTCCTCTCCATTAAGTAACAAAAGAAGAAAGTCGGTTTGCAAAACAACTGTCTACTAGTTTCATGCATGTAAAAGTATCTGATCCTTATCTACTCACCATTTGCACTTTAGCAGATTATAGACTCATGATAATTCACTAAAAGGAAAAGATCAAAACTTAACAGCTAAGGTTGATACCATATCAAATCTTGAAAGGAGAAACAAAGGATTGAAAAGAGAAATTGAGACTTACAGTCGGGTAAGGAAACTGAGTTCCAAGTAAGTCCAGGTTGATTCTGCAGACTGTAACTATTGCAATCTGTAGTGGTATTGATTCTATTACTGCACAAACACAGAAAGGAATTGCCAGGAAGAGCATAACCACACATACCGCCGCTAGTCTCACAAGTGTTACACTTATTATCCATGTAATAGTCATCTAAAGCTCCACTTCTGTATTTCAATTCCACCCCATACTGCCACTGGGAAGGATTAGTAGGGTAATCCTGCAGGGACACTATTGAAGCATACCCCATGCACTTCAGCTTTTGGAGATCAAGCTCACCTTTGCTATTAAAATTAGCAGGAGAATACACACAGCACGTGTTTGTAGGTGGAAAAAGCGGCAAGCCGAGGCCAATCACAGATGGACACGTGTAAATCGATGCACAGAGATAAGAGGAGGAGGTGTCGCAAACAGGTGAGCCCTTGATGGTGAGAGAGGAGGTCGGGGGTGTGCATGAGAGGAGAAGGAAAGTTGATGGGCCAAGCTGGACTGGACTTGCCCAGTCTAGGCCTAAGTTGGGGGATTGTTGCATGGAGGTGCATGTGGACATGTGTGGTGGGGTGATGATCATGGTGGAGGTGGTGTAGGATATGGAGGTGATAGGATAAGAACCTGTGTGACTTGTGAGGAGAAGCTGATCACCCTCAGGTGAACAAGCTATATAAGGATGAAACCTGGGAGAGCCACAGCCGGGGCCACTGCCAAAGGGGTACTTGACCTGTATGGAACCACATGAGGTCCGGCATGGAAGGTCTTGGGCAAAGGTTTGCCATAGTATGAATTGGCAGACATAGGAGAAGAAAAGGATGATGGTGTTGAAAGATAGAAGATTTTCCATGGACAATTTGATGTGTCGGTGAAGGAAAAGAGCAAGGAGGAAAAGGGAGGAGGAAATAAGCACTTCTCATATGCTTTGGAGGATTTTTTGTATGTTCTGTTCTTGACAAAAAAACACTTGTATGCATCCTTGCATGTGATGTAGATGTGGTTAATGGTTATTTTTGTGTCTTTTAGCCAATCCAATTCCGGTTGGCTGTTTTGAAGTAAAAATTGCCTTTATGATATCCTTGATTATATTTAAATGTTAATATTTCAGAACATTTTAATTCTCGGGTAGGCAAACTTTTGTTCTTTATGTGGTATTTTAGCATCTATATTAATTTTATTTAGTATTTAGTATTTTTGAGGGGTTACATAAATAGTGACAGAGTCCTTTTGAATTCTTCAAGCAAGGAGCACGAGTACAAGTAGTGTGATGTGTTTTTGGCAAGACAATCTGTGATGAGTTAAGTCAATTAGACATATTGTTTAAATATTAAAAAGAGAGAGTTGACTCTTTAAAATTGTGCATGTGTTGTTTAAGTTATTTATTGTGTGTTTTATGAGAGAGAGTGTCTCCTTATATAATAAAAAATATAAGATATAAGACATTTTTTTTTTAATCAAATAGAAGCGATACCCATACAATTTATTAATAAAAAAAGTGGAATAAATACAAAGGAAGGACAATCCAATCTAACCCAACAAACTAGGGGGACAAGAAAGCCTAACCTCTAAAGTTTAGTCGACATCCGATAATTAAACAAATCCATACTCGTCATGCCTACTAACACGTTTTACCTCTAAAGGTAATTGTGAAAAGCACCTATACTCACTTGTAGTCTCATGCATAATGAAATAGTTAGCTAACCTATCCATCACCATATTCCGTTCCCTTCGGATATGCTTAATTGTATGATCATTTAGCAACTTTTGACTCTTGCGAAAGGCATAAGAATACACCCATGGAACCTTATTGAGGCCTAGGATTGTACTAATAACCATTAGCGAATCAGATTCAATGATAACCAACTATAAACCCAACTCCTTACATAAAATTAAAACTTCACAAAAAGCAAAGACTTGACACTTTGAATTCATCCTCTCATCATTAAAATTTGCAAAGTCGGCAACAAAGACTCCTGCTTCCTTTCGGATTACACCTCCTCCTACATAGAAACCATCCCTAGCCGACCCATCCACATTTAGCTTAAATTTTCCCAAAGAAGCAGTTCCCACTTAAGCCATTTTCCTCGTAAAAACTTCGGTCGCACTATATCAATGCCAAGCATCTATACTTTAGTCAAGACATACTTTTAATGTGTTGGGTCAAATGAATATAAAGCTCTAAGAAAGAGAGTCCATAATAATGAGAAGACCTAATCCGATGGGCTTTGTAGGGAGTTTGAATGTCATGGAATATTAATTGCCCCCATGTCTTAAAGTGAGATTCATTTGATTTCAAACATAATAATTTTTTTTATGATGCAATCTAGGTGGATCGTAGCTTTGGAGATATGATTTAGAGTTCTTAGAGGAATAATGGCTGGAGGTTCCAACAAGAATGTGATTATGGAGGAATGAACTTCAGAGGAGCGGGTTCTAGAGAAATTTATTCCTAGAGGAATGTGAGTTCTCCAAAGAAATGGATTTGTAGAGAAGTGGGTTTCTAGAGGATCTGTATTCCTAGAGGAATATAGATTCTCAAAGTAATAGAATCTTAGAGGGTGAATTCTCAAAGGAATGTGATTTGTTTTTTAAAAAATGCACTCGAAGAAGCGAGGTCCTAGAGGAACGTATTCTTAGAGGAATGTGGATTCTTAAAGGAATGAAGTCTTAGAGGCACCGATTTCCAAGGAAATGTATTTGTGGATGAATGTGAATTCCTTGTAGAATGGTCCTATGTTTGCCATTTGTTTATTTGAAACTCTCAAACTTGATAACGTGTCACACTATCATAAAATTATTTATTTATTTTCCTTACTAGACCTCATTACAAAATTATAGCTAGGGTAAGTAAAGGTCGATCCCACATAGAATCCGTTCAATCAATTTTCTTTGTTATCTAATTGTTCCAAAGTACAAAAAACGGAAGGGGTTTGTTTATAGAGAACAATAAAGATAATCAAAATTAAATAAAGAGATAAATAAGAGTATTAGAAGACTTGTTCAAAGGATAGTTTATACTTTTGGTTTAATCGTTGATTATTGATTCAAATATTAATCCATTCTTTTTATGAATATTCACCATAGAATAAAAACGAGATATGTTATCCCCAATCTTTCCTTAGTGATTCATTAATTAAAACAAGTTATTTAATTAATCTCTAACTATCAAATAACCTAGAATGAATTATCTAGAATCCAATAATAACATTAAGTAATAGAAAGATAGGTGAAGCTAAACAATTCTCCTACAGGCTAGGAGAATTTAATCTAGTTCTATATTCTTCGAGGAGCTAAAAGAAAACTTGTCCATAATCATTAACCTTTAGTTGCTATCACAAGTAAGATTAGATAAGTAATTACGAACTTGAATTGAATTCTTAACTAAAAATAGATTATATAGATCAATCCATTAGTGTGCACCCTAATCAATCAATCAACACAATCATATTTATAAATTATAGAAAAGCCTTAAATACCAAAAAATAATTAGATTAGGAATAAAACTTGTTTAGATCTCACAACAATTTAACCAAAGCTTCAACTTTTCCTTCGACCAAGCAAGAGTATTTAAAGTTACATGGTTTTACTTACAAAGGCTTTTTTCTATCTATGATTGTGTGAATGAATGGATGAATAAAGTAAAACCCTAACTCGCTCTATTTATAGCTAAAAGTAGGATTTCAACTCACATTAAGATGCTTAACATGGACGTTTGCTTGCTTTAGGCACACAATTTGATCTTTGGGCATACGCGATTTAGAGCCTTGAACAATTGATGGAACATAGCTTGCTTGATTGAGGCACACGACCATGTTGCATTTACTCTTCATCTCGTGTGTTTTAGCTTCTACTCATGTGGCGTTTCTTTCTCTTTGAATAATAGCTCGGTGGTGACACACGTGGGTGTGTCAATTCTTTTACACAAGCCATGCTTATTTCTACTCGCCCATGTGTCTTCTTATGCTAAACATACACACAGACTTTCCTCTTGGTTTCACATGGCTAGTGGCTTTTTTCCTCTTGTAAAACGAGAAGATCGTGTGTTTCCTTCCTTTAACTTGGCGTTGTATGTTGTCTCTATTGGACCTTTTCGTGGGCTTCGACTTTTATGTGTCTTGGCTTGGGTTTATTCATTTTGATTTGCTATTTTTCCTATAAAACTCAAAATCATTATCTTATTCGTAATTAGCTTAATATAATACATAAAATACTAGCAAGTTTATTATAAAAAGGGAATAAAAATTATATAAATCATGCACCGATCAAATTCTCCCACTTCAACTTTGCTAGTCCTTGAGTAAAACAAATAAAACAAAAACTTAATTCACTTTTATAGGAATCACGATTGCATTTTACATATGCGATAAGCCTTTAAACCCCTAGGTTATCCCTAGTGGACGAGTTGTGTATCGTAAGGGTTTTCAAAAGATATACCCATAAAATTTTAGGTGAATATCATGCAAGTATAATTATCCTTCAAACATTGAATCTTAATTTAGAATCTAACAAAATCAAATGATCAAGTCAATCATGTTTAGAATATTGCTCTCATATCCATGTATGTCTCTACATCAATTTATGTACTTTTATAATCAACATAATTTAAGCATGTAACACTTATCTTGCCATTACCCACTTCCACTACTATAAACAAAAGTAGTAAATCAATACTTTTTTTTCTTATTATTTTTTTCAACATTATAATTCTTTTTTAAGGCCTCTAAAAATTCTTCCTTAAGAAATCACTCACCTTTTTACATAACTACTAATATTTATGATGAAAGCAATTGGTTACTCGGTAAGTATAAACTTAGAGTGTTTTGTATACTCATGATTCAAGTTGTCATTTGACGTAAAAGTAAACCTTTATGATGAATACTCTTAGTTACTAAACAACTCAAAACATTGAAGTAGATTTACACTTCAATTAGTAAGGCCAAATTTTCAATTGGAATGCTTTTTTTCTTTCTCAAAGTTCAATCATTAACAAAAAAATCTCGTTTTACTTAAACCATGCTTAGGCTTTGCTTTAAAGGGTAATTTCAAAATAAACATTACTTCAAAAATCATGCTTAATTAAAAAGATAAATTTCTCTAGCATGCATGCATTTTCATAATAATAACATTCAAAATAATCTCAACTTTCTCATAAGATCTTGTTAAAATTCTACATCAATCATCGGGTAAGAAAGATATCATACTATTTATGGCATTCATTTTTTTAAAAAAAAATTTAAAAACACCACCTAAATCCTACATTCCTTCTTCCATATTTAAATTTTACATTGTCTTCAATGTAAACACGAAATGATTATAGGCATATGAAATCTAAAGATATAAGGTAAAAGATAAAATCGATTTATAGTAATCAAAAGGAAGGTGAAGGTGGTAAGAAATACATTGTGAAGGCATTGAAAAGACTGTTAAGCCTATTGTTGACCATCTAAAAATTGAGCATCGTATACTTATCCACTCGTTGGACTTGTTGGCTCAAATAGTCAAAACGACTATTATAGATGAGCTGCATGTCATCCACTCGAGATTTAAGTTGCTTCAAGGTGTATGATTGGGCACTTGAGGTATCCTTATAGGGAACATGCTTAGCTACTCCTTTCCTACCAACATTCTCATCTTTTTCACCCTCACTATTAGATGATTGGCCCTCATCTTGTCTTTTAGGTCATTTGGTTGATTGAACTTGGTACTTTTTTCCTTTTTTTTTACCAACCTAAACTTGACATACATTTCTAAGTTCAAGTTAGTGTTCCCTTAGCTTGTGCCTATCTAGTGGTATATAGACTAAAAAATTCAATTTTTTTGATGATATGGGTGATAACCTCACAAATTACA